GTGATTTTTAAAAATTATTATTATCAAATAAAATCAACCCTTAGTTATCTTAAATTCCTGAAGAGATTTGCAGTGGAAATGTTTAACTGGGGTACATGGTATGTGAATGAGAGCCTATGCACCTGCATGAGGCACCAGAAGAAATAGCACAGCAGGAGTGCAGGGAGTGATGCATTTGCAGCAAGTCAAGAGATTACGACCAACCAAAAATACAAGAAAGAATATAGGTAAGAGTGGGAAATTGGCAAGATTTGGGTGTAGGGCCAACTGTACTAAATCCTTGGCGTGAGAAAAGCTCCACAACATAGATACAGAACAATAGCAGTGTGATACAACTCAACTTGGCCCTGGGGTTTTCTCAAGAGAGAATATGAAGGTGTGCTGGTTTAAAAGTTAACCAGCAAGGGAAAATGAACTCAATTCAAAAGAGAGATTTATAAGTCAGAATAACAATTTATTAAAATAATGCAATAAGTACAATTATACAGACAGACAATTGGTTTTAACCCACAAAACCCAAATGTATAACCCAGCACCCTGGGGTATGAACAAAAGTGGTGTACCTTGGCCCACCCCCGAGTCCAAAGCAAAGGGAGAGGGGATAAACCTGCTGGTGGGAGAGCTGTTGCAGTCTGGTCAGAAGTGGTGATTGCAGTCCAGTCGAGGGTGGTGGTCCCAGTCTGGTTGAAGGCAGTGGTCTGCAGTCTAGTTGAAGGCAGTGGTCTGCAGTCTAGTTGAAGGCAGTGGTCTGCAATCTTCCTCTGGATCCCACGAGAGGTGGCAAGGTTCCGAAACTCCCAGTTTATATACTCTCCAGTTCAGGCAGGAGTGCTCAGTCCCTCCCTCAGAGTAGGGAATTCCATAAAAGGGCATGCGGATGCTCAGTCCCTCCTCCATAAAAGGGTATCAGAGCGGGGAATTCCATAAAAGGGTATCAGAGCGGGGAATTCCATAAAAGGGTATCAGAGCAGGGAATTCCATAGAAGGGTACAGGAACATCTTCCCACCTTGCAGGCCTCTACTGACAACAGTTTTTGGGAAATGGCATGGAGGCTATAGAATACACAGTTTTGGGTTACACCCATCCAGTGATGAATTGGTCCCAGCCGTTCTAACCAGGACAGAAGGATACCAAAGATTGTGCACCATTGTCAACATTCAGGATGAAGCCAGAAAAAGTGATGAGGGCTTGACGAGGGCAGAGCAAGGGCTGACTACTCCGTGAGAGTTGGGAGTCAAGCCTGGTAACACGGCCCCTGAGTGAGGGAGCAGAGTGTGCTCATGGGTTGCAGCTATGGTCAACCAAGAGTCCAGTTCATCAGACAACATCTGTGGTGATGAGGCAGGTTGAAGGTCAAGCTGGAAAAATCAATTCCCTGGTCAGGATGAGGTCTGGTGGCCGTAATCAGGGGCAGACACAGTTGCTGATGACTGGGCATGTCCTCTGTGACAAAGCAGGTCTGAGGTCAAGCCAGGAAGTCAGTTTGCAGCTCAGAGTCCCTACCAGTGGCATCTATGGCCAAGAACAGGCATGGCTGTGGGTGAGCTGGGGACCAACATGATATATGACATAACTCAGGCACAGCCTCCACAGAGTGGAGCTGTGCCAGGGTGTAGAAGGATGTCTAAGGTGAGGCTGGTCAGGGCCATTAAGGTCTATGAGTGCCCTCAGGACCCTGACCTTGATAGTTGGTGCCTCTTGTCCTTCTCAGCATAAATAACCCTTCCCAGACACATAGATGTTCGTGCTTAAGAGTAGGAAAGACTGAGTATGCATGAGAGTGAAATCTATGGAGAATGACTGCTACTTAAACAGGTCTTTTTTAAAGTAAAAAATTGTTGCCTTCTTCTCTATAGCCTCACTACTTTTGTTGTTATAGCCATATTCCCTTTATTTCTCCAAACTGCAAGAAAAAGACTGTGCTTGAATGATTTTTTTTGTCGTCTTTCTTTCTCTCTCTCTCTTTTTCTCAGAAGGATCTCTAATTTTGCCAGAGTATTAGGGATAGTACTATTACAAAACAACCGAAATATACTTGCACATTATAAATAAATCTAATATCACATGGAAGAATTTGTTCCTGTATAAAAGGTAAACTTTTATAAATCCCTGTTTTTTTCTCAGGCAAGCCCCTCAGGGTGAGAGGACAGCAGAGAAAATAGGAAGGTGGTTCCTGGGCCCTTGCTGGCTCCCAGACCTCCAGCATGGGGCCAAGAGGCTCTCCCTCCAGCATTTTACCTTCTACCGTGGGACACAGGACAGGGCAAACTAATTATTAAAAAGCATCAGAAACATAGAAGCATAACTAACAGCAGTTTTTATGACAGCAGCATAAAAAGTTTTTTAGAAACTGGGCAGCAAGATATTATTTTCCATATAATTTTTTTTCATTGAGGATTTATGTCTTTAGTGACTCACAGACCACTGCTGCTGTTCTGCTATGAGAGAGGTGAGCCCTGTAGGCAAAACATAGACCAGGTGAGGAAAGAGAGCAAGTTCAAACAGAACGCTTTTACCTGTACATTTGCTTACAAAAAGATTAAATATCCCAGTGCTGCAAAAGTAGGAATTCTACACAGGAGGGTTTTTGCTTGTTTGTTTTTCTATTACAGGCAGACAGATAACATGCTTAAAGTGGCAGCCGAGCCCTGCGACAGTCTGGCTTTGTTCTGTATGTCAAGTTAATGTGCTGTAACCATGGGAAAGATGTACCACCCCCCCTGAAGCACATCCTTTGGAGTGGAACAGCATCTCCTGCAAACAGCTCTTTATCAGGTAGTCCTGGACAAACCCATTTTTATTTCAAGAAAAAAACCATCGGTATCTTTCCTTAATCATCTGAATAGCAATAAACCCTTAGAGAAAACTATTGCATTCAAAGCCGTACCTTGGAGGAGAGATCTCACTGGAGCATGTTTAAGGGAGATTTCTCCAGCCCTTCTTGAAATTAGGAACTTAGTGTATTTTAAAGGGAAACAACCATTTCTATAATCATAGGTTTCCCTAATCTCAGGGAGGAGGGAAAACATCCTTCAGTGATACACTCAACATACGTATAGCAAAAGTGGAGCAAATTAAGAGACACTCCCTTTTCCCTTGGCTTTCTGGAATTCCAAACCCTCATCAGAGACCGTAATTATTTTGGGAGTCTTTCACTCTTCCCCTCATTAACATGTTTACTTCCTTCTTATACCATTGCATAAATATGTTTGTAATTTTCTCTTCCTGATGTGGCACAATAATTCTCCAGCCTGTTTTTGTTTTTAATTCTGTGTGCTGATGAAGTGCTAAAACTGACTCGGCGAATTGTTTCTGACCGCTGCACAACTGCAGAGCAATGCAGACCTTACTGTAGGGAGGGGTTAAGAATTGGTGCACATAAAGAAACGTAATATAAATTTGCAGGTTGATTAAATCTAGTTCCTTTGAGAGATATGTGGCCCTTATCAAGTCCAGCCTTACATCACACAGCATAAAAAAACTCTGCCCAATTGCAGTTTTCCCTGCAATATTTTGCCAGCCCTTTTCATAGTTCAAGGCTCTGAGCCAAGACCATTAAACTTGATTATAGCTGTACTGTGAAGGGTCAAGGCACACATTAGAGCTTGAATCCAGCATCTTAAACCCAAGGTTCACTGTATGTCTTTCAATTGTGTTTTGATTTTTGAAATGTGTCAGTTTTTCCCTGTAATGAATTAGAAAATAATGCATAAACAGACTTGCCACAGAACCCTTCCTCCCGATTCCAGCTCCAGAGTACTCCATCCAGCTCTGAGTTCCTCAGTACACGAAAGACATGGACCTGTTGCAATGAATTCAGAGCAGGCCATGAAGACGATCAGATAGAGCACCTCACCTATGAAGACAGGCTGAGACCTGGGTTTGTTTGGCATGGAGAAGGCTCCAGGGAGACCTTTTAACAGCCTTCCTGTACTTTAAAGGGGGCTTATGACACCAAGCTGAGTGGTATGGTTGACACTCTGGGATGCCATTCAGTGGGACCTGGGCAAGCTTGAGAAATGGGTCCACGGGAATTTCATAAGGTTTAATGAGACCAAGTGCAAGGTGCTGCACCTGGGTCAGGGCAACCCACAGTATCACTACAGGCTGGAGGATGAACAGATGCAGAGCAGCCCTGATGAGAAGGACTTGCAGTTGCTGGTGGATCAGAGACTGGACATGAGCCAACAATGTGCCCTTGCAACCCAGAAAGCCAATTGTATCCTGGGCTGCATCAGAAGCAGCGTAGCCAGCAGGTCAAGGGAGGGGATTCTGATCCTCTACTCCACTCTAGTGAAATCCCACCTGCAGTGCTGCATCCAGCTCTGAGGTCCTCAGCACAGAAAGGACATCAACCTGATGGAGTGAGTCCACAGGAGAGCCACCAAGATGTGATTAGAGGGATGGAGCACCTCTTCCATGAGGAAAGGCTAAGACAATTGGGATTGTTCAGCCTGGAAAAGAGAAGGCTGTGGGGTGACCTAATTGCAGCCTTCCAGTACCCGAAGGGAACCTACAAGAAAGATGGAGACAGACTATTTACAAGGGGGTGTAGTGTCAGGACAAAGGGGAATGGTTTTAAACTGGAAGAGAGGAGGTGTAGATTAGGTATTAGGAAGAACCTTTATTGTGAGGATGGTGAGGCACCAGAACAGGTTGCCCAAAGAAGCTGTGGATGCCCCATCCCTGGAAGTGTTCAAGGCCAGGTTGGATGGGGCTTGGAGCAACCTGGGCTAGCGGAAGGTGTCCCTGCCCCTGGCAGGGGGGTTGGACTAGACGATCTTTAAGGTCCCTTCCAAGCCAAACCATTCTACGAGTCCATGACGTCTTATAAAAAAGAGCGAGAGCAACCAACAGCTCATTTTTCGGGTTGTATCACACGAACCGTAATTTTTCTTCCACTCTTGCGCGCCCCTCTCACCCTCACACACTGCCGGGGAACCTTCGGCCCCACCCCCGGCGGCGCGCGCGGGTGACGCGCTGTGTCTGCGCCAGCCCCGCCCCGCGGCCGCGCGAGTGCTGCGCGTGGCGGCAGCATGGGCCGGGCCGGCGGGAGCGGCGGGGCGGCGGCGATGGACGCGGTGCGCAGCTTCGAGCGCTGGAAGAAGAAATACACCCGGCGGACGAAGAGGCTGCGGCTGCAGCGCAAGGAAAGGAAGCGGCCCGAGTGGCAGGTAGAGCGGGAGAACATCGCCCGCCTGGTGCAGCGCTACCCCGAGGTACGGCCGGTCCGGTCCGGGGAGCAAGGGGCTCTGTGTGCGGGGCGTGGGTGGGCGGGCGGGCACGGCGGTCCTGCGGAAAAGCGGCGGAAAAGCGGCTCCCCTCCTCCTGTGGCGTGTTTCGGGGTAGGGCTGGGAGGAGGAGGGATGGTATCTGTGTGCGGGTCTTGGGTGGGCGTGGGGAAGCCCCAGTGGTGGGCAGGCTGGTCCTCTGGTTGTCGGCGGCGCCTGTAGGTCACAGGTGTGTCGGGTGATACTGCTGTGTGGCAGGCAGGATGGCTTTTTACCTCCACGAGGCAGGGATGATATAGGGATGATTCTTTTCCCTTTTTTACCCAGGCAGAGGAGGAGAGGGCAGTGGTTCTGGTGGAGGTGACTGGCTGTGGAGCCGGGCGGAGTGGGACCCTCGTGGGAGAGTGAGTGGTTGGGAGGGCAGCAAGGAGGACGAGGAGGCTGAAGCAGGTGGTGGAAACGGTTTGCGTGCAGTGGCATTTGGTCCTTCTAACCAGGCGGCGTGCCTGTCTCCGTGTTGGAGGTGGGTCACGTTTGTCTCCAAAGAAGGTGCCCGACAAGCAAACATCGCGCTAGAGGAGTGTGTTGTTTAACCTCAAGTCAGGAAATAGGTTTTTGAATACCAGAGCTGAAGGCAGCGCTGTTGGTTTTGTTGCCCAGATTTCCTTGAATTCCTGTGGGAGATAGTCGGCTTTTGAATGGTACCGATATGTGGAAAGTACTGTAATTGTGGATAACGGGTTAGATGTGCTCTGCCTGTGATGCTGCTCTACCTTCTGCCAAACTTTTGCTGAGTTTGTAGCTGCTGCTGAGGAGGAGCAGGGCAGTTCTGCTTGGTTACGCAGTGCTCGGCATAGCTGGTGGTAATCACTTTTGGCGATTGTAGTTTGATCGAGCACAAAGTAATGAAGAGAGCCATAGAAGAAACGCATATGTTACTGTGAAGAGGTCACGTTAGCTCCTTTGGTTAAGATTCAGCAAGTTAGTATTCTTAAGTTGAACTTGCTTTACTGTTTGAAAGCAAATGGTATGCTTCCAAAGATAGTCATATTACTGTTTTGAATTACAGATTATTTCTCAGGGGAAAAAAAAGGTCTTGTAATTCATTGGCTTTTCGTTTTTTTGATAAAAATTAAAGATTGTAACTATGTAAATGATTAGTACATTCTGTTGTGCATAAATTTTGAGTTAACTTGTTTTGGCAATATCTTTCTACTCACTATAGAAATAGTCAGCTTTCACAGTCACAGCTGGAATTGTTAGAAGCTTGTATTTTTCCGAGTGGGATGACCACTGGTAGGTGAGTGTCTTTATGGAATGACAAACATCCTGCATTACTACAGTACTGTTGGACTGTTTCTGTAACCTAGACTTGAGGTGGTTGCCTCTGCATGGTCTCTGGAGGGTCCATGTCTGAGCAAGAGGGAGAAACTGAGTTAAAGCAACTTGGCAAAGGCTGTTTATAGAGTTTGTAAACTCTCTACACAGCTCCCTGGTGGTGGACCTATTGTTTATATACCAAATTGCAGTATATATACCATAGATTGCTTTGTATTTCTGTGTATTGCATTCAATTTCCACTCATTCTACATAGATTTGTGTTTATACTGGCTTTATGGTCACCTCTGTCAGTTGCTTCCCTGGATACTTGCATTTATTTGCTATATATATGGCTATGTGAATGTGTAGAGATGCTTCTGTGTCACTATTGTGACTGCACATGCGCCTGTTTCTGGGCATGGGTAATAATTCTGTGTCTCTGTGGACCTTGGGGCAGCATAGGTAAGAATTGGGTAGTGGGAGGTTGTGTTTGTCTGTGTTTTTAGAGGCTGAAGAAAAGAGGCTGGTAGTGGTCAGGCATATGTCCACTAGAATTAAGACAAGGTAAACCTGTGTTAGTATTAGGATGGTGCTGGGGGCTCCTGGTGTCAACCCTTCTGAGGTTTTGCTGTCCTCTAGCTCCAGGAGTCTCCTGTCTGTGAACATTCAGGTGGATGCCTGCCAAGCTTTTTATCTTCTATCCTTCAGATCTTCTTTTCTGGTCCCTAGCATGGTTTTCCACTTCGTCTCCAGTGTTTCTTCTGTATTACCCTGGATTTGGTTAAAGTGGGAGTGGGGATTGGGAGGAAGAACCATGTGCTTGGATCTAAAGGGGTCTCCAGTGAGTTCTGCATGAGGTAGATCCCTTTTCAGGGACAAGGGACCTAGAAAGCTCTTTGGTAAGCTCCTCTCTATGAAGTGCACTGGCTGGGGTCTCTGTCACGCAGGCTGTGGGTGGGTTAAGTATGTGCTTTTCTCATGAATGTGGCATGGAATTGGGGTAGCATGGCTGATGGATGCACGAAGATTCGCCTTGCCCTCCTGTCTATAATTTCCTGTGTGAGAATGTCTGCAGGGGGTAAACAACACAAAATTAATAATGAAGAGGTAACCAATATACTTTGTTACTGGATTTTTTTGTAATTTGTTGACGTGACAGCAAATGTGTGGCAGCATAGATGCAAAATGTGAAATTTAGTTCCAATAGGTCCCAGTCATGGGACCGTTTTCTGTGTTATGTGTTCGTAGGTTGTCTGTTGTCTGTTAATCCAGCGACTTCATTGCCTAATCGTCAGGCCATTGATGGACATGGTCCTTTCCATCCAGTTGTGCTCATGAAAAGTATTGAGCGCCTAACTGATGTGCTGGTGAGCTGTTCGTGAAAAATTCTTTCTAGTGTGCTTTATGTCAGATTAGTTGAGTTAGATCAGAATGTCATTTGAAGTATTTGAAGTGAGCTGGCTGCTCTCACAAGTGTAGATTCCCAGCTAGATTAGCTGAGGTAGTAACTTCTAGCAGGGAAACAAGCTAAGTAGAAGTTGGTGGTGTTTTCCACTGGTGCATGTAGATATAAAATAGAGCTATCAGAAAATCTGCCTCTAACACCAGGTCTTCTTATGCCTGCCATTTCGACTTGACTTAAAAATAAACCAGTATTTTTGGAGTTTAAGGGTACTACTGCATATCCTTCTTCTGCTCCTAGGAGTCTGTAGGGCAGAGAAATAATAAAGGAAGCTTTGTGACACGGCCTCTCCTAACATTCCTCGCTCTTTTAATAGTGTTCTCACTTCTTTTCCTTGGACATCTTTAAAAGAGCTAGGCTTATGCATGTAATGATTTTTAAATTATTTTAGAGAAGTTTAACTTGGAGGAGCAGAACAATATTTGTTTGTTTTGATTAATATATCTGTTCTTACTGAGTCATCTAGAGTTAAAAAGAAGTTGAGTACTGAAATACTTTAGGTGTCCTTAATTATTTAGAACAATTTCACATTGGTGTAATAGCCTGTTTCATATTTTACAAACCTACTAAAATCTATCCCTTCAGTTGCACATAATCAATTGTGTGAATTCTTTTTTGATGTTGATAAGATACTTTTCCCTCCTGTAGGCATACTCTTTTCCTATTCACAGTTTCTTGGTTGAAATTAAACCAAAGCTGTATACATCACTGAGTTGTGATTATTTAGCATGTGAGACTGGGCATTAGCCAAATATTTCATGTGATATATAGTGTCTTCAAAATTATCAGTTGAGTTTGGAAATACTTTTTGAAGTTTCCAATTTGTGCAAGTCAAAAAGACTTTTAAAATGGTGATTTCTGAGAGGAGTTTTTCCCTCCTCCCAAATAACATTTCCAAAAGTTTAATTGCTCTGCTATGGTACAGTGAAAGCTTGAAATTTGTCTTGCAAGATCTATGTATTGAAATATGTTGAAACTAGGTTTTAGTAAGGGTGTTATTACCTTTTATCTATTTTTATCTTTTATTATAGGGATTGAATTCACATATTAAATTACTTATCTTGATTTTACTAGAGGGAACTAGCCTGAAAAGAGTGGTGTCATGATTTAGATGCTTTAAACAGTTATAACCTCTCAGTTTTCTATAATAGGCAGAGCCTGTAGAAGGCTTGGTGCTTCAAGTAGATATAAAGCTGATCTGACAGCTCGGTAGCCCTTCATCTGGGGCCTTCTTTGAAATTGTTATCACAAGATGTCAAGAAGAGCCGAGGACTGTTTTGCTTGGTTCCTGTGTTGGGAGATTTCTGTTCAGCAGTCTGTTAGAATGAAGTGATGCCAGTTAGAAATGCAGGAAGTGTGTAAGCTTTGAGTTTGACATTTGGAAATCTCAGTTTATGGATTCTAGTCAGTATACATTCAAAGCTGTGTAGTCTACCTTCCTCTTTTTCAGCTCAGGCTTTATAAACTCAGTAGTCTATTTTTTTTCCCTTGAGTTCTGTGGTTTTGTTCAGCCCTGCTGCTATTAGTTGTGAAGTTTGCCAATCAAAGCTGTTCACATTTTTTAATTACCACCTAACTGCTAGAACAGTTGCAAATATTATATTTTTCTCAAGATCTCTACTTGACATCTCAACATCTTTTTAAATCATTGAGCCAACTCATGGACTGAAACACATGCTATGTAATTACATCATCATCATGGCTAGGCTTCACGAACGAAGATTTGGGAAGGGCTCTACCCACATTTCTTGCAATATGTAATTACACATGTGTGTGTAATTAACAGCTCTCAAGTGTGGATGCATACAGAGAAGTAAATTAGCACAATGAACTACTTTTTTAGTATCTGGGGTTTTTTTTACTTTGTAGGACAGCTCTAAAAAGTAAGTACACCAAGTGCTAGAGGTTAGTGAATCTGGTGAGCTTCAGGATACTGAAGCTTGTGCCTCTCCTGTCTCAGTCAGGTTGATGCAATATTGCTGCAGTTCTGGGTGCCCATATCTGCCCTGCAGCGAGGGTGAGTGTATCTTCCCAGTAGTTGTGCCTGTGTACACACATGTCCAGCCACAGCTGAACACAGACAGAGCAGTGCCTTTATTGGCACGCACACAGAGTGCTTGCACACAATAAATATGGGCGGCAGGTGCTGTTCCTCTCTGTCTGATGGGGATTAACATCCACTAGTGAAATATGTACTCACAACTGGCATTATCTACTCAGCCCCAGAGCTGGCCTCAGGCCGTGGTTTTCCCAGGTGCCGGCACTGGCACCCTCCAGCCTCTGAGGTTTGTGGTACCATTCCAGTTACCGGCTCTGGGCTCAAGTGCTGCTGTCCACTCATCCCACTTGAAGGTTGCTGGTGGTCTCTCACGCAGGCTTAGAACAGACAGTGTGCCCACAAAGAAAGTCAATGGAAAGAATGTAAGAGTAATTATTTTTATTGTTATTACTGTTAATAAAATAAATTATATTATGTAAAAGTATTTAGTAAGACTGTAGGGCAGGCTGTAGTGATGAGGTACAGGGCTCAGTTAGGGAAGTGTGTGCTGACCAGCCAGCTGTCACTCAGACCAGCACCTTTTTATCCCCTTTTGCCTCTATTTTCTCATGTGGGTTCCTCCCCAGTCCACCTTGATCCCTTCTTTTCCCTGTCTTTGATCCTTACCCTACACATCCCACAACAAGTCTTACACATTCCTACAGCCCCCTTAAAACACCCCGTACGAGGTTGTCCAGTGTCCTCAAATGCTTCCCCCCCCCCCCGCCCTGCTCCCTCTGAGCCTTGTGCACCTGCAGGCACTGATCCCTGCCATTCTGCAGGGCCTTCTGGCGAGGGGGTAGCCCCACTAGTGCCTTGGTGGAGTTCACCGAGGAACCGTGAGCTGACCCCTCTCCTCCAGTGGTCCCAGGGAACACCTGAGTCAGGGTACTGTAACTCTGTATGCAGTGATAATGTCAGTGAGGCACCTTCCCATCACTGTTCCACTGGTTCTTACAAAGTCTTTGAGTTCACAATTGTTAATCTTTAATCACATAACCTAATACTAAACATATGCAAAAGACACTAGCACCACAGAGTCAAAATGGAGAACTGGAGTGGTAGAGAGGTATCTTTCTTATCTGGAGCTAATTCCTGAAGTGTTTGTTTACCAGGCCTTTACCCTGCAGAACACTTACCTGCTTTAGTGATGTCCAGTCTCATACAGCAACTGGAATACACTTCATCCTCATTGCTTCTAGAGATCTGAAAGTATAGATGCGAAAAGGACAGCTGAACTCTAATAAGGTTGAGATGAGAAACCTCCTGAGGTTCTCTTCACTCTTAATTGTTCTGTGATTTCATGATGATCTGAGCTTTAAATTGTGCTATTAACTTGTGTTATTCAAGTATATCTTATTACTTACTGAACGGCTTTTGGTAGAAGTGGTTTGGCTTAGGTCAAACTAGTATAGATTGCCTGACTAGCTAACTTGGATCAGGTCATACTGAACTACTACATATTTATGTAAACACCAACTTAAAGATTGCTTTAGATGGTTAGATGGTTAGATTGTAAGCACTGATCAAAATTATTTTTTTTTCAGATAAATGCAAGTGAAATCCAAAGATTTTCAGATTTTCCGTTGTCAAAAAAAACCCTAAAAGGTGAGTATGGAAGTTTTGTTTAGAAAATAATGTAAGTAAAAAAGAATGTATTCTTTATCTGCATCTGAATGGGTTTTTTTTGCTTTAAATTAAGTTTTAGATAAGTGTTGCTATGTACAGCATTTTCTAAACAGAGGAATAGAGTCTTGGGTCAGACAAAACTAAATGAAGTTTTTTTCTTTCTTTTTTTTTATTCCTCTTCCCCTCCCACACACTCTCTCTTCTCTTCCCACACTGCACATACTAGGACTGCAGGAAGCTCAGTATCGTGTGGTAACAGAGATACAGAGGCAAACCATAGGTTTGGCTTTACAAGGTAAAGATGTACTCGGAGCTGCAAAGACTGGATCAGGCAAAACCTTGGCTTTTATTGTTCCAGTAAGTAATTTATATCCTTCCATTTGTACTCAAACCAAGTTATCCATGAAGTATTGATGTCAGACAGCTTAGGTTAATAGATTCTGAGAGAAAAGTTACAATTCAGCTGATCTAAGTGTTCTAAGAAAGCCAAGATACTAATTTAATAAAGCTGCTTGAGGTTCTGAAAGAAGCGTGTTTCTGGCACTAGGAATATTCTGAGACTTAGAAGTTTCATTTTAGTCCTCACATGAGTAGACCCTGTGTGATTTTGCAAGTGCTTTGTTTTCCTCTCAGAAATGTTTCCTGGTGCAACTCTAGTTGTTCAGTTCTGAAAACTAAATGTATGAAGTAGAATGGTAAATTTTCTTCAGTTCCTTAAAATTTTTTTTAGATGAATGATTTTCACTCCTTTAAAATGTAGGAATTTGGACCTTATATAGCAAACTTAACCTTAGTGATTGTGGACTTCCATTTCCTTGTCTTTTGTGAACTGCTTTGAAATCGCTTATGGGTGCAAGTGGAAAAACTGGATGAAAACCCTTGTCATGGATATATATGTTTGACAGTTTTACTCAATACATCATGAAATACATTTCATTTCTTTGTGCTGAAAATGTAATTGAGACGTGTGCTAAAAGTGCACATATAAGTGGATACAAATCCCATCATGTTATTTTTATATGAAGGGAAAAAAATGTTATGATTATGGAGTTACTTTGTTTTAAATGTTACTTGCATTTTTCTAAGCATAAATTTCTTTGGAGCCTATTTTATCGCTAACTATGAGAACAGTAGAAAGTTCTTTGAATACTCGCTGTAGTTGAGAAGATTTATGCTTTATGCTGTCTTTTAAAAAAGTATTTTTTACTAGTGAAGAATAAAAAACGTAGGAGGATTCAAAAGATAGTCTTGTGAATTTGAGAAACAGAAGTGAGATTGCTCAGTTACTTAATCTAAGGGTAGAAGTACTTTGTTTTACAAACCTTATTTTAAAACAATTTTAGAGAAGAGTGCTAAGAGAGGAGCTGAAGAGATGAAAAATGGAAAAAAAATTAACTGTACAAGGATGTGTAATGGCTTTCAGTATTCCAGAAGGTTTCAGATATTCATACTTGTAAAGTCTTTGTGTTAGGATTAGATGACTAAGACAGTGTTTCTGCAGTGTCAATTCCTAAGAGAAGGAATAATCCTTGTCTGAGCTGCAACTTTAATTGGAGTGCTCTGTATGTAACATGGATAGTACTGCTTCAAACCTACAGCCAGAATTAAAGCTTCAATAACTAATGTTCTTGCAGTTGATCATCCTGTTTCTGGTTCCCACAAAACCTTACGAGCAGGGAAATTTCTCATATTTTTCCACACTAATTTCAATTATCATGTAGATGTTAAGGCCTAGTTTCCACAATTTAGCAGGGTAGGATTAATTGTGCAGTAAAGTATTTATGATTTACCACCCATTACTGTCTGTCATAGGTTGGTACTGGAGAACTTTGCTACTGCAGGTATCATTACCATTAGTTAAAATTTATATATAATCAACCTATGTGAAGTGGACACTGATGTTTCTTCATGTCATTACTTTAGTTAATGTGGCTTTGTCTTTTTTTTAATGATACTTTTTGTTACAAACTTGTTGTTACACACTTTCCTTCTGAGATTTTTATAGTGTTAATATGTTAATTGTTTTCAGGCTTTGGAACTCCTATATCGCCAACAGTGGACTTCCGCTGATGGACTGGGAGTTCTGATAATATCGCCGACCCGGGAACTGGCATATCAAACCTTCAAGGTTCTGCGTAAAGTGGGAAAGAATCATGAGTTCTCAGCTGGTCTTGTCATTGGAGGAAAGGTGTGTCCTCTCTTGGAGTTTGCTATGTGGAATCATAATTGAGTAGTATGTTAAGTACTAGTTTAGAAAGGAAACCCTGGGATCAAAAACTCAGGGAAGAGAACAGTTAATGGGAATATATCAGCGATCCACTTGTTTTCTTGTGTGTACTCTGTATCTTTTGAAGCTTTTGCATATTTACAATCTTCCCAGGTTCCATGACTGAGTGGACCTTCCTGCCAAGCCTTCCAGGACTGTCTTGTGAATTTAGATTATTCTGAAATAACATTTTGCTTAGGCCGTAAGTGTGAGCATGCTGAAGAAATGGCGATGTATCTGTGGAAAGAGGAGAGGTTGCTCCTTAACTGTTCCTTCTAAAAATTACCAGTAGGTTAAGCTGACTTGACCATGTCTGGTACTGGGCTTCTAGTTTGAACAAGTAGAGCTAAGCTGGTTTAACTCCTTTTCAGGATCTGAAAGAAGAGTCTGAAAGAATACACCACATAAATATGCTAATTTGCACTCCAGGACGGCTTCTACAACACATGGATGAAACTTCATATTTCTATGCATCTGATCTGCAAATGTTGAGTAAGTTTTTTAAGTACTTGCAAGTATTTGGGAATATTTTGTAACAGTTCATGGAGCACTGTATGGAGCACTTTCTTGGGTAAAAAGTTTATCTTTGCATGGTATGTAAATGGAATGGCATTTAAGCTCACACATGTCCAAATTAAATTAGAAAACAGCAAAGCCACTTTCTTCTTTGTACTTTCTCTGAAGCTGTTGCTGAGCATGCTTTCCTTAGGGTGATAAGAACAAGTAGGTGAGTTAGTAAGGAAATCAAGCACAAATGTAGTGTCTCATATAATCCTTTATATCTTTATATCCTTTATATAGCCAAACTTTCCTTTCTGGCTATAGCTCTTGTGTTTTTCCTGACATGATCGTTAACTATCTATAATGAATATTCATTGCAGTGTGTGTATTTTGGACCAGTTCTATAAAACATTTTTCTTTGTATTTTAAGACAGATTTCTGCTCCTTTTAATATTTTGTTAGCATTGTTAACATTGTTCATTTACATCCTTCCAACCTGAACAAAAATTTTCAGTGTAATGAAAAAGTTTGCCTGCCACTAAGAACTGCATAATCATTAGCATAGCTTCAGGAATGTAGAAGCAATTAAGAAGCTAACGAAGCTGATAAAATGTGGAATTATGCTTGCTACACTTAGTACAATTCATGGCAGACAAAAATTGCATTAAATGTAGGCTCTTTTCTTAAGACTTTGTCTCTGTTCTACTCGGTTTATATCTTGTATTTCAATGGTAAATTTAACTTAGGTAAAGGAGAGTTTTTTTGCTCTGTCATGAATAGTACAGCACTGTTTTATGTTCTGTGCTCCTATTTCAGTAATAGGAAAGGGAGTCTGTTTACAAATTGCTGAACTGTTTATTTGAAATGCTGAACTTTTTGCTTCAGTGTGTGAAACTGAGGGCTGTAGTGCATAGATTATGGGAAATGCTGTGATTTCTATTGCAGGTTGTTTTAAAACATTTTATGAAATACATGAATATCTAAAGAGAATCCTGTTATATACAGTAATTAAGTTAATCTCTGCAGTATAAGTACAGATGGAATTTTGTACTATATAGATTTAATGTAGGGGTTTTTTTAATAATTAAATCTAAAACCAGATTTTCTCAACTTTATCCCTCAATCAAGTTCTTGATGAAGCTGATAGAATTCTAGACATGGGGTTTGCTGATACAATGAATGCAATCATAGAAAATCTACCTAAGAAACGCCAGACCTTGCTTTTTTCTGCAACACAAACAAAATCAGTGAAGGATCTTGCACGTCTGAGTCTGAAAGATCCAGAATATGTTTGGGTTCATGAGAAGGCCAAATTCAGGTATGTTGGGCTATTTTTTTTTCTGAGGGGTTAAACAGATAGTGGTTCTACTTAACTGCTTCTCTGACTGTCAGTTTCCTGAATCAAAAGGGTTTTTTTGCATCCTCCTCCTTTCTGCAGTGTCTACTGTGTGTTTCCCTGAAAGCAAGAAGTTTCCAGATAAGAGGGGACTAGTTCTGACGGAATCATTACAGGGAGGCTGAACCTGTGCTTGTCTCGTGTCTCCTCAGGCAGCTTCTCAAACTGGACATTTTTTTCCTTGCGAGGAAGCACCAGAGTGGATTATAGCCTGAATGGAGTAGTGTCCTAGCAGCACTCAGTTCTGAATTGCTCCTTTTTTGTTGTTTGGCTTTCTTGCCTCCTGCATGTGCATACTTGCTATGCAGAACCACCACATCTGTTGCACAAACACGGTTTGTCTGTGTGCCGTTTATAAATCTGGCTTTCCAAGGAAATGCAGTGCTAGTGGGAAAATGCAGAATGGCAGCAGTCCTGTTTGTGTGTTCAGTATTAGATGCCCATAAGAAAGCATGTGGTGGTAGTGCATGTGCAGTAAGTCTTGTGGCTTCCTGATGTGCTGCATGTTCTGTGCGTGTTTAAGACTCTGCCCTTTGCACACAAAATAAATTTGTCATACCTTACAGTTTGGAGCAGGATGGGAGGCCCTTGCTAGGAATGAAGTATGTGGTATCACTAAATGAAAAAATATACACGTTGCTTTTTGGCACATTATTTTCTTTTGAAATTGAAATGAAGCATGTTATTTACTTTGCATTTCTGTGGGCTCGATCATCTGAATGTCAAATTGCTTATGAACATGGATGATTATTTTTCTGCTCTTCTGTGAAATATGCATATATTTCCATATATAAAATGCAGGGGAAAGGTGAAGCATTGTGTTAAAAATGGCTTTTCCAAGAGCAAACAAGAAATCATCAGGAAAATGCACAGCAGAACCACATTGAATCTTGCGGGAGTTTTAACTATTTGATTTGATTATCTCTGTATTGTACTGCAAATACCTTTTTTTAATCAGCAGTACTGTCAAAGGCATCTGAAATAATCATGATTGCCAGAAAAAAATCTGTGATTAATATCTTCTTAGCAGAAGAGGATATATAAGCCTAATGTGTATTCTTCATTTTGAGGGCTGACTCTACATCTGTTTCACGGATCTCACATGTTTTGTGAAGTCTGTTTTTAAGTACATTTAATTTTTTTAAATATTTGGGAGAATGCAATTAGGTAACAAACTGAAACAGAAAAAAGGAAAGTATTAATTTGTTTTAAAATTTACTGCCTTAGTAGTGAAAGGTTATTGCCTTATGAAAATTTCCTGTGAAAGACTTTAAAAGTGAAAAGTGCTATGGCATAATTGAACTTGAATAGCAGAATAAAAACTGGAGGAGTCTCCTGTAATTTCATCCTCCCAAGTGACCACCTTTAGAAAAGTAATTTTGAATACCTTTGGTGTGTTTAGAGTGAAGCAGAGGGACTGTAAGAGATGAGCATTTAGGTGTGTTTCAAGGGCAAATTTGCCAAAGAACTTTTTGTTGTTTTATTAAGAGCAGAAATGTGAGTAAAGATGACAATTCAGAGCTTTAGAAAGTTACCTTGCGTATCAGGGTAATCAGTAGAAGTACATCAGTGCTATTTTTTCATGCATGATTAGACTCTGCTTTGACATTGCTTTAAGCACAAATGATGCCTTAATAGGACTAATAGAAAAAATTGCATTTAAGTCAAGGCAATTTGAATGTCGCTGCTTAGACATGGAAAGAGTTTGCCTTGCTAGTAGTAAATGAATTTAGAAGTAATGTCAAAAGTCATCTGTGCCTCCTCACTGGCTTTTAGTAAGGAAATTGATTCATCTTTCAAGAGTAGCTTTCAAGTGGAGCTGCTAAGACTTTTTCCTCAAAGTGGGGGAACTTTCCAGCCTGACTCCTTTTCTTTTCTCCTCTTTTCTGAGTATCTATAAGACACTCTTGACTTAAAAGAAAGGTCAAGCATCTCCGTAAATGTATCTAAATATACTTTTTTGGTGTGGTTTTGCTTTGGTTTTGTTTTTCTTTTTTTTTTAGTACCCCAGCAACTTTGGATCAGAATTATGTTGTCTGTGAGCTTCAGCAAAAAGTAAACATGTTATACTCTTTCCTGAGAACTCATTTGAAAAAGAAGAGCATTGTGTTTTTTGCAAGCTGTAAAGAGGTATGGCTTTTTCCCCCCCCTCCCCCCATAGCATTTTAAAGCTAATAAAATGAAGATATTAATAAAATATTAATAAAATATTAATACAATGAAGATTTCAAGGCACCAGAGAGGTGAGATTCTGGACTAGTTTGCAATAGGAAATTGGAGGAACAAAACAACACCTACTCCTGTAGACGTGTCATGCAGGGCCTGGCTTCTGGATGTTCGGCGACCCAGGCTCAATGGAAAAAGGTTCTGGAGACTCAGCCATTTTTATGCTCTGCTGTTAAAAATGAATGCTAAAATTATTGTCAGTTGGTCAGTTAGTTTTGTCTCATGACACATTTTGTAGTGTGCTTACACAGTACTTCAGGAGGTGTACCTGGTTTCTTTACAAGCTTTTAAGCCTGCCTATTTGAGAAATTATGATTGTGAAATAGTACAGCAATAGGTTTTTCTTACATAGGAAGTAATCCTTCAAATCCTCGTATAAATATCCTGGGACCATTCTGTTGAAGCTACTTGTATGTGTTTATGTGGCGCAGGTATTTATAACTACTCCACGTATCAAGTATTTTACAACATACAATGGTATAGTAAATATTCATTGCCGTTCTTCCACTTGTGTAAGAGGTTACAATATTTTTGTTGTTCTGCAGAGTGAAGCAGTAGGTTTAGTTGTACGGAGGTTCTCTGAGCTGCAGCTGTTCCTGCAATAGACACAGTTTCTGTAACTATTTTCTTAAAATAATATTACATAGCACCCTGCTCTAAAATGATGTTGCATCATAGGTACTGTATGTAAGAGTAAACAGGCTGATTTTGTAAGAGAAACTGTTGAAGCTTGAAATAGTAAACTGAGACTGTAGACTGCTTTGAGTTGCAGTATAGAACACAACACCCCTCCAGTATTGTCTCAAAGCAGTGCTTCTTGGTGGACTTCTCGTACTTTGGTCCCTTGCATACAGCCTAACTAGTCACGTCCCAAGTCATTCTTGCTGTTAGCTACTCTGGTTTCTTTTAGGAAATGTCATCAAAAGGCATGCCAATCTTCTTCCACAGCTGGTTTCTTCTTTTATATTCTTTAGTACCTGGGTGTGTTGACAAAGTCTCAAAATAGCATCTCTTGTCAATGATATGGAGAAAAGTTTATTTATTTTGACGTACTAAATCAGTTCCTGTATACTGTATATGATCTTTGCAAGTTTAACATTGCATGGTAATTTCCCCCCTCTCCCGATTTGTTGGATAGGTCCAATATCTGTTCAGAGTTTTCTGTAAGCTTCAGCCTGGTCTTCCTGTACTGGCACTCCATGGCAAGCAGCAGCAGATGAAGAGAATGGAAATCTACACTTGCTTTGTTCGGAAAAAGGCAGCGGTACTTTTCGCTACAGATATTGCAGCTCGTGGTCTGGGTATGTACCCACAGAAGCAGTTATTCACAAAGTGATGACCTAACCCTGTTGAGGCTTTATCAGACTTTATACTCTGAAGACCAGCTTGATTTGTGAAAAATGAAGCTGTAGTCTGCTTAGGAGCTCACTAGGGTAACTCAAAAAAGAGAGATGCATCTTAGAGTTCTGCTGTTTCTTTACTGAAGAGGCCCACTTAATCTGTGCTTATTTTTTCTTTTTTTCCCAGAAGAACTTTTGTTGGATGAAAATGATGATGTATTTGCTTACTGCATGCCATAAGGCAAGATTTTAGCAGTTTTTAGTATTAGTGATATGCCTGTATCCTGTGGGTTATTCCAAAGGATATGAAAAATTACTAACCTACCAGTATGTGGAAAGAACTTTTAACATCTGAATTATGAATGGCTTTATATAGGACTGTGTTGTGTAAAGAGATAAAAAAATAGATGGGGGTAAAAGCAAATATATTTATAGGATTTATTTTGAGCCAAGAGTTTCTTACCTCTGGGCATTACCTGCTGAATTATGATTTACTTCTTTGGACTTCTTTTTTCTTTTCTTTTTTTTTTCTTAGTACTTGGAGGCATTTGGGTATGACACAAGACTTTTCAGGAGTTCACTCATTGTTTCAGATAGCAAACTCCGTTGTCCAAAAATGTGAGGTTTTGTCATTATGCTACAAAAGAAGAGAAGGTGCTCTAAAAGATGAAGGCAGAAATGAAAACTTTATCAAAACTTCTATACTGCTGAAATGTCACCAGTGAGGATCTAATTTGCGTGTGGTTGGTTGGTTTTAGAGCGTGGGTATAAATGTGGAATACAGCATAGCTACAGACTTGGTCAGGAAGTAATTCAAACTTAGTCCCGGGCAAAGCATGCTGCTGCTTCATGAAGTACAGCAGTTAGAAAATGCTTATTAATAATATCATCCGCAGTCAGTGTTGACTTCTTTGTCAGTCTTGGTCACACACCCCCCTTGACTCCTGCATCTTTGAGAGGAACTGTGGTATTTCTGTATGTGACAGCTGAAGTGCTGTCTCACCACAGCTGACTTCAAATCCCAGTGGTGTAGGATATTAATAGTCTGAGTGAAAAGTGGGTTAGATATTGTTATTTAGTTGTTACATATAGTGGTGTTTTATCATCTGTGTGACCCAAAGCATGTCTGTTCTTGTCAAGTGTGAAATGACGCTCCATTCATTGTACTGTCATAGTTTAGGAAATGAAGACACAATTAATTTTAACTTTTTTTGTTGAAGAGAATGATTGTTTATGTATGCTAATACATGCAATTAATTTTATTTTTATTTCAGAGGTTGAACCCAATGACTGTAAATGGGGTCCAAATGATGCTTCTTACAGGAATTAATGCTTCAAAATAATATGTCGCTCTTGAATAGGAGGTTTTTCAGTACACTGAGCTTAAATATTGACATATTTTTTTTCTTTATACAGATTTTCCAGCAGTGAACTGGGTCATCCAGTTTGATTGTCCAGAAGATGCAAACACATACATCCACAGAGTGGGAAGAACAGCCAGGTTTGTTTTCCCTTTTCATTAGTATTTTAATGTTTAAAACTAGATCATTGTAGGGAGACATAATTGGCTAAAGATTCACTCGAAAAAAATCAAGATATAAATTGGAAACAGAGAAAAAGGCTGTTATCACTAAAAACCCCATTTGATTAGTTAAGAACAATGATTTAACTTAATGATTTCTTAGCTTCAGAGACTTGCTACAGCAGACAAAAAACATCTCTGGTTCTTTCATCCGATCAGGGAAGATTAATAGTGAGGAAACAGAAAATCTTTTGTACTTGGCAGGATTACCTCAAAGGCTGAGTTGAGCATATTTGTGAGTGGAAAAGCTTGTTTTGCCACTGACACTTATAGTTAAATAAGGTTTTAGGCTGTGGATCTAATTCCTTAGTGTCATTGAAGACTCTTCAAAAGAATGGAAATATTTCTTCCTTATTTTAATTTGGGGAGGAAGGAATCAAATAATGTTAATTACAGGTTAAATTTTTAATTTTCTAAGTCTTTTGTAGAATTACATTCTTAGGCATAGCTTTAGTTTAAATATTTGTGACTAAGTCTTTATGATGGAAGGGAGTTACCCAGCTACACTATTGAAAACCAGGTCCTTGATCTCTGAAGTAGATTTTTAACAGAAACAGGAGCTGTCACTGCATATAATTCAGTGAATCAAAAACTTTAAACAATTATCTGAAAGATGAAATGCAAGACCTGGCATTATATCTTGTTTATAATTTAATTCGTTTGTAGTAGGGTTTGCAGTATTGGCAGTTGTCAAACCTAATGACAGAACAGTTGCTTAGAGTAGGACTTCAACATTATAGAAATTTGAGATCTGTGTTCGTGGATCAGAAGGCTATAAATTTTCGTGACCATCTCTTTCAAAATGTGGAAGTTCTGTGTTTCATTGTACTTGGTAACATTTCTGCCCCATTCTGTCATGTGCTTTCCATTTTCTGATCTACCTGCTGTAGTAGAAGGGAACAATAAGTTTTCAAATGCTTTTGAAAAAAAAGCTATCAATGAAAAAAAACAGTGAATGTTACATATAATTAGATAAACCACCTACCTATTTTGCTAAACTAAAATTTAGATGTAATCTTATGCACACCAATTGAGAGAAAAGCATATAGCCTTAGTTAAAATTCTGTGGTGTTTTTTATTTCTTCCCCTTTTTTTTTTTTTTTTAATTCCTGAGTGGTTTCCGCAGAAGGCTGGTAATTTTGTCTTTATGGCATATTGTCATCATATGAAAGAAAACAATATATTTGGCACTGTTTAATTGCCAGCTTCTAGGAGCCTTGTTGAGCTCTTCCTGAGCCGTGTCACTGAGCTAAAACACCTCTTGAGTTGTAATCCTCAGGCTTTTTCCCAATTCTCATTAGGAGCTGAGAAGAGCGATTGTAAGTAGTTTAGCGCAGGGAAACAGCTCTGAAGAGCTACAAAGACAACTATCTCCCCTTTTTCATAACGCTTTTATTCAAGTGTCACTCTGAGGAGGATGTTAGCATGGCAACCTTAAGGGCCTGTCTTCAGTGGCCTCTTAAATACAATCCTCTATGATTCCTCAAGGAACAGATTTAGACAGAAAATTGGGGCAGAGATTCTGTCTCGTGGGCCGAGGGCTGTGCTGGATGCCTCACCGGGCTGTAGTTTACATTTCCTTTTACGTGAATTTTTCAGTAGGCAGACCTTATAGAAATTGGGAGTGCATCAAAGCAAGTTGTTTGAGCTGGCAGGATAGTGACTAATAGTGAAACAAATTCCTTTTGTAGGAAGAGCTTCATGGGTATTTCCTGTTTCTTAATGTGATACAAACATCAAGGCAGGTTCTACCTATGCTGAGTATTAATTTTGAAGAAACATACAGACTTTCTCCATCTTTAAGGTAAAGCAGTCCTGGAAAGAGGAAAGAAATTCGTTCAGGAAACTTAATGGCATGAAATAAATCTTTGAAAATAAAACAAGGCAGATGTCTAATAATTTTAAGTGAATACTGTATACTAAGTAAATATGCTAATGCAGTTTTAGATGTGGATAGTTGAGAATGTACTTCTCAGTGAAATCTGAGTGTTGAGTAGGAAGCTTCACTTGTTTTCAATAGCTGCAGTTAGTATGAGAAGCTTATGTTTCTTCTAGAAACTTGATAAAAATGAACTGAACTGCAGTTTAGTAGTCCTTGTTAATGAGGTTAGAGATCATTGCAAATTTTCATGGGTTATGACAGTGTATAATTGCATGGAATGAAAGCTAAATTAAATATCTCAGCTAAATTAGAGGCTGTGTTAAACTATAATTAAAACTGAGATGCCACATACTGTTTACTTTTGAAATAAACTTATTTTTTGATACAAAGGTAAATATGAAAGTCAGGAGAGAAACTGTGTTGGGGATGGGGCTGAAAAACCTTTGACTAGCGATCATGGATATGTTTCCAGATCTGTTTTACAGTTTTGCAAAGCTTAATCTAAGATGAAAGATTATTTTTAAGTGGATCAGACCTCTGTGTTCCCTAAGTAGCATTTCACTTGTATTTTATCCTGTTGAAGAACATAAATTGCAACTCCTGCATTTTTGATTTATTGTAAAGTAAGATCAGGAAAATCTGGGTGTTGTCCAGTAACGCTTTTACTTTGTAGTAGAGTTGACATATATTGAGTGGTTTGGTTGTTTGTTTTTTTTTTCTTGTAAAGTTGAAATGTATGCTAGAATTGGAGTGATTGGAAGCTGTTTCTTCCAACTGCTTTTAAAGTATTTATTTAAAGTCCTTACTGGTTCAGTAAAATTCTAAAATATTGACAATATCATTGGCAGTGCCATAAATATTTCTGACTATATTTTTACCACACATTCTCTTTGAAAAATCTGTGATTTAAAATACTAGATCAAAGTGTTTTCCTGTTGGTTTTAGTTTCAAAAATTCTAAACAAAAGCTGCTTGTAGCAATAGCCTGCAAAACTAATTTCTTCCATTTCTTAATTTCTATTAATGCTTTCTATTCTGTAACCTATGAAGCCTATAGTTGGTCAATTTTATGAAACAAGTTACAGTGCCACTAGGGGACAGCAGAAGATAATAATTTTTGAAGCACATTGATGCTCACTTTTTTCCCTAACTGTTTTTTCAATCATAATTCTATGGCATGAGGAAAACATATAGGGATATATTGCTTTCAGACATGATTGCACTGATGAGACAAGATACCAAAAAGTCTATTTTGTCTTTTTATTCATGTGTGTATATCTTTTACTTTGGATGTACCTAAATCCTGGCACGTATCAGTAATTAATTTCTTTTTTTCCTAGCATTGTGTTCCTCCTTCCACTTAATTTTTTTTTCCTTCAGACGAGACTATTAAAAACTGTTACTTGAGTTGAGTGATTTTTCTGTCAGGAATCTTTTTTAAATACACCGACAGTGGAATGTTAAACAGAATAAATCTCTTCACTCTGTCATTTTTATCTGTGGTGTGTCCAGAGTTATATATAAGGTTTAGGTCTGACTGGCACAGACTTCTGATGGAATTTAATCCAGGCTAGTTGGTTAGGTTTCTTAGGTGCTTAAACTGATTTAGGAAAGTAATTGTAATTTTGTTGTTGTTGTTAAACATAGTGTGCACACAGGCATGCAAGTTCTGTCTAGCTCTGCTATGCTTTTTTTCCTTTTAGTAAATTATGCTCTGAAAACAAATGGAATAATAAAAGTCCATCTTCTCAAAGCAGTATACTCTGTTATCTGCCATCTTTGTACTGGCTGGTATGATGATTAGAGCCAAAGAGGTATGAGTAAAGGCTTATAAGATCTATGGGTTTTTTGATGCCTTGGGAGTAGAAGAGAACACACGCACATGTCAAATTATGGAAAGGTTAAAGGAGCAGGTCATAGAATGATCTTATTCTGTCATGGAGTATAATGCTTTGAAGCTTATTAGTGCTCATTGGGGCTCTACTTAAGTAATTGCACATTATATGTGTGAAAGTGAGACTAATAAGCCTTTAGAATAATGTGTCAGTAAAGCATTTAAAAGTGTGAGTGACTTAATGGTACCTTTTTCAATGGTGGAAACTTGATTTATTTTTTTTTATTTGGGAAAAATATCCCAGGGATGCGTGTCCTGAATAAACAGCATAGCCAAGATGACAGCTCTTTATTTGACTGTATTTCTTTTCTTTTTAATTTTAAGACCCACCGAAGCACTTTTACCGTTGTTTCTTTAAAAATAAATGCAGTATTAAGACCATCTCATATTATATTGCAGTCAAGTCATCTTCCTAACTCAAGTTAGGTTAAAAATAGCTGGTAGTGGAGGTCATAAGAAATTGTTGACACCACATTTAACTCGCAATTCACATTATTAAATTCTCTAAAATTAAACACTGTATCCTAGCTACATTCTTGACAGTGGCCTGTGACGCTGCAGTTATACTGACTGGCCCTGTGTTATCTGTTAGAATTCTTTTAATAGTGGAATAGTATGAATGTTCCTTTACACTGAACAATTAAGTGGCTAAAGTTATTACCTGCTGACATGAAGCTGCAATACCGTAGCTGTGATAAAAAATTAATAAGCACATGTATTTTAACTCAGTAGAGTGGACACAGCTGCAGTGGAAAACAGATTGCTTCCTGTCTAGGCTGGAGGATCCAACAACCTTCCAAGGCCTTTTTGAATTCAGTTTATTCTAAGATTAGCATGACAAGATTGGTGAGCAACTGCCTGTTCTTGTCCATTATTTCTTGTGACTAGCAAACAGGGACACTGACCTTGTATGACTGAATGAAGGGGATGGTCGTTTTGTGGTAAAAATAAAACCCAGTTGGTTCTCAGAACTTGACAATAGGTATAAGTGGGCTACTGTCTGGACAGCAGAAGGAAAAGGATATTAAGTGATCAGAGGAGAAGAAAAAATAAACTATGAAGCAATCTCTGACTTAGTAGCAGTATTTACTGATAATTTTTTGGAGATACTGAATTAAGGTTTATGCAATGGAGAAACAGAAGT